GAAGAGCACCGGGAGATACAGGGATTGAATGAAGTGTTGGACGAGAATAGTGGTGACCCGGAAGCGAAAGAGGAGACACAAGAAGTGCAGACTTTGGACACAGAGGTCGACGACAGAGACAGAGATGAGAGGGAAGGACCGGAAGAGATGTCGGAAGCAGAAGAGGGCGGAGAGAGTGGTGTCGGAGAAGAAGAGGTTGACAGAGAAGACAGCGTTGATTGTGAACCGATTGCCAGCACTAGTAGTTCGGGTGATAAGAGTGTCTCCAATGAGCGCCCATTTGTGTGTTTTTGGCCCAATTGTGGCAAACGATTCACTCGAAAAGATCATCTCAAAGACCACAAGAGTGCCGTCCATTTGAAGCTTAAGAGATTCAGATGCGATGTCGAGGGTTGTGGTCAACTATTTTTTCAGAAGTCTAATCTCAATCAACACAAACGGCTGCATTCGGGAGAAAAGCCATTCAAATGTGATTTCAGTGATTGCGGTCAATGTTTCGCACGAAAAGAGATTTTAAAAAACACAAAAATGCCGTTCATTTGAAACTCAAACCATTTGTTTGTAATGAAGACAATTGCGGACAAAAATTTGCTCACAAATCATGATTAAGTGTAACAAACGCATTCATACGGGAGAAAAGCCATACGTTTGTGACCACAAAGATTGCGGCAAATGTTTCACTGATCCGTCAAATTATAGACGACATCAGTGATAGAGTACTTAGGCGGCGTGCACAAAGTACGTACGCAAAATTTTGTTCAAAAATTGACCCCCCCCTCCCCCTCCCCCCTACCAGTGCGTATGTACTTTGTGCACGCCGCCTTATCATTTGAAGTGACCCTAGGAATGTGTTTCGTAAAACCGGTAACCGCATTTCAAATAGTACCGGCGCCCATACTGGACATTACAATCAATTGATTTTCATGTATTAACACTGAAATCAGTATCCAATTGATCGATAATACAATAATAGTTGTCATAACTCATCACAAAAGCGGTAACCAATACTTTCGGGGGTCATATACTTGTGTTTATACCAGGCGCTTATCCTAAACGCCAATATACCTTATTTTTGGGTTTTGCTGAACTGGCCCTTATTTCGTGGCCCTTGGCCCACCACTACAGGAAAGCCAACCTAACCAAACTTAACTTAATTACATTAGAAGTTGGTTTGTTTCACTGCAAGACTTGGTTGGCTTCACTGCAATGCCTGTTAAGTATGTTAGGTTAGGTTAGGTAGGCTTCCCTGTAATAGTGG